ACGGTAGAATTTGACAGGCATATATGACAAAGTGGAGTTATTTGAAAATATAACAGGTGATGTGGACATGATAGGGATATTATTTAATATTCTGTTCTGTTTTTAACAGCTCGATGGCTCAAGACGGTCGGCCGAGTTGGTATCAGTTGAGACGGGCACAGCTCAGTTCTTTGATTCATTGCTAGCCCATATAGAAGCAGCACCAAACCCTCGGATCCAGGAGGAGTTATTAGAGGCTGCACAGAGAGATTTGACACGTCTTGCTACCATTGACAGTGCTGTGGCAGGGGCTGCTCAGTTTTCAGCTCTGTACATTGGAAGTCAGTTACTCATGGTGAAGCTTCTCTCCAACAGACTGTGGGCTAATCCATCCACACTTGCCACTCAGCAGGGCAACATAATTCGAAATTCCATCACCCAGTTACTGCAGCACTGCCTCAAGTATGTAATGCAAGTTCCAAACAGTCCAGCTTATGTCTTACGGTCCGAACAGTATTCGGATGTGATTTGCATAATCGGTTTTAGATCTTGTATCTGGACCAGCATGAACCAAATTATATTGTCTTGACAGCCTTTAGTATGGAGCCCCAGTATCAGATTTTTTCTAAATCTGTTGGATAGTTCAGGGGCAGATCACAAGGATAATTGGACGGACAGGCATGATATCCCTATTGTGCATTTTCTCAAAGAAAGCATAAAAATTGATGTGACTGAAATATGCTGTTGCAGGTTACAACACTTGTTTGTGGGACTGAAAGAGGAAGATCTTGCAGCAGTAAAACAGTTTAAACTGAAGGCACTGGCCCTACAGCTTGTCTACATTGTGAGAGCAAGCAATTCTTCAGCCCTGGCATTGTGTGAGCATTTCCTGGAACAAATAGAAGACACACAGAGGTATGTGTTTCTGCATGACAATTGAGAATGGCTGCAATCCAGATTTGCAAGTGGTCTTTGCATGATGTACATGAAGTGAAATGGACTGGTCCTCTCTGTCCACATGATTTAACTCAAGAACTGCTTGATATATTTGAATTAAATTTGGTGTGGACATTATGCCATTAGGGAATACTCTAAAATCATACACTAAATTTTGTCTGGTCAGTAATACCAACATGGCAGGCAAAATTGTGATGTGTATTGACACTAGCGCCACTTGCAGTAGGATTTTTAGAAAATACAAAATTTTGGTGTAGAATTCTTTGGAAATGCAAAATAATATGACAGCTGTATGAAATAAAAAAGTTGACAATGACCCCCATGCGTATGAGTCCTGTATGCTACCACAGTGCTAACTTGCTTAAAGAAGATATTGAGACCACGTGATTTATATAGTTGAAAACGGAAATTGTCAAAGTAAGATAAGTGATATAATCTTTTATTAATAATTTAGAATTTACAAGAAATGCATGTGCATATTCCAGTACAGTCTTGTTATTCATTGCACGATGTATTTTTGCAACAGTGCTTTGCGTGAATTTTATTGTTTGTTTGCGTAGGTACTTAATTGAACAGGGGCTGCAGCCTGAAGCATTCACAGCATCTGTATTCAAGGAAATGGGGCAGTTAGAGGACACCAAACCAGGCCCTGTAGCAAGGAGTTTACTGCCACTCCTTCAGGTGTCATCGCCAGCACCACCGCCTCGCCCCAATATTGCTGTGAGTTGTTTGTTAGTGGAGTTAGATAATAACAGATAAATTCTGCTTTTGTGAAATCATAATATTCAGAATATATTAGTTATATTATATGAGGGTTTGTTAGCATCTCGTCCAACCCCCAAGCCGGAGGTCTGCTCCATATCAGCTGTCTTCATTTCCTCCATCCTCAACCTGACAATGCATTGTGCTGTAGTCAGTTGTTTTACTGACTTGAGTGATCATGTTTCACCTCTTGAAGCTGACCACTTCTCTTCTCATGTTGGAAGTGCATAATTTTATTCCTTAGCACGTTTTTACGCTTTCATGGTGTGATGCTTAGATACAGTAATGACTTAATTTTTACCTTTATACAAATATTTAATATTATGTGTGACTGAGTAACTATGAGCTCTTCCAGACATATTCTTCCTTGAAAAGTTAATATTACCTGTAGTTATGAAACCTGAAATTTTACTGCTTATTCACTACTTGTTTTATGTGTGCGTGCTACATATTTGCCAATCTGAACCATATTAATGTAACTGCACTAATAATACAAGGTGAAGAGAAGTATTACTGATTCATAATATGTTTATAATGTTACATTTCATTTATAATTTCTGAAAATATAAAGAAGGAATATTGTTACTTGTGTGATACTGGCCAATGTTTTTGCCATTAATCACAACAGAGAAATTAAGTAAGGTTACAGTAAGTGTGTACATCAGTGGTCCCCAACCTTTTTGTGCCTATGGGCACATTTAAGAGTTTATGAGATCGTGGCGGGCACCAGCCAATTAACAAAGGCAAATTTTCTTTTCTCTGGACAAATAAGATATGGACACCAAATAATACACAAAACAACACGACGTTTAATGATACAAGAAACCATGCAATCAAAAATACGTAGTTTTATAAATACAGTTATTATTACGGAAGTGGGAAGTTAGTGTGATGTTTGGCATTGCATTTCATCGGCCAGTTTTTCAACTTTGGGAGTGTAGGATGACGTTGCTGCTCGCAGACAATCGTCAAGATGGGCATCAGTAAGTTGAGATCTGCACTTTGATTTTATAATGTTCGTGGTTGAACGGCCTTCATTATTCAGTATAACCTCTTTCCGTAACAACGCGGGCACCCAAAAATACCTTGGGAACCACTGGTGTACATGATGCTTGCTTCATTGAAGGCATTATTTTCTTACAGGTACGCATGTCAACAGCAGTTATCACAGAACCAACAGGAGAGGTTGATGCAGCACTGAAATTCACAGCAGGCCTTGTTATCGGAGTACTCCTGGATGCTGAATTGTGCAACGTTCGAAACACTGCTACCTTGCGTGTAAAGGTAAAATATCCTGACCAGCAAACGCAGTTAATAGTTCCAAAATGTTCAGATCTTCGGCCCATGCTACTGTCTGACTCGGAAGGCAACAGCGTAACAAGTGACACATCTGATACTAACTTCAGGCTCCTCACAACAGTTCTTGTCTCTCATCAAGTGTGGACTGAGGCTTGTACCATAGATATTAGCTTGGCTCTTGATTTAACTGATGTCGAGAGTGGACTAGGATTAGGAACGGGTTTGACTAACAGGAAGGGGACTGTTGCAGGAGTTTCAAAAGCTGTTGGTGATCCCTGTGTAATTGATCTTTGTAAGCCTGTTAAAGTATTTGTCTCCCCCAAACCTGTCAAAAGGGGGATTTGAGAAAGATAAATGGTTATTATTGACACACCTATAAAAGCATGGGAATTTGGTTTAGCATTCTGTCAAGACGGATAAAAGTAATTATCTGCATATCAGGGTAAAGGTTTATATGACCCTTGGAAGAATGTTTGCCATACAGGAAACTTTGTCCACTGTCTTTGTCTTGTCTGGTATTTTAATAAGAATGACTTCTCTTTATACCCTACTTTTTTATTAAAATGAAGGACAGATTTATAGCATCATCATGCCCATTTGTCTGTCCCTCTTCTTAATTATTGAACAATTTGAAGGACTTTCATTATTATCAAACTCCCACAGACTGTACTAACTAGATGGCTTACAGAACCTGAAGGTTCGTCACCGAACTAACCCAAGCCCTCCACCGGTCCCTGTCATGGGCCAGCAAAATCCATTTTCCTTCAACTCCTATCTCCCACAGATCCCGCCTGACATTATCCTCCCATCTACGTCTAGGTCTCCCCAGCGGTCTCTTCCCCTCAGGCTTCCCAACCAATACCCGGTGCACACCTCTTGTCCCATCCATGCCCGCTACATGCCCCGCCCATCTCATTCTTCTTGACTTCATCACCCTGACAATACTGGCGGAGGCGTGCAGATTTTTAAGCTCATCGTTATGCAGTTTTCTCTATGTCCCATGGTCGTGTCAAAGAGTCCATCTTGGTCCGAGGCTTGGTTAATGTGTTCGTAACAATGCCTTTTTCTTTAAGGTGAAAGGTTGTTAGCCTTACGCCCAACCCCCAACCTGTTTTTCTTTTTTAATTTTTCACCTACCGTGATCACCATATAGACTTTTGACATTGATACCATTTAATGTAGGGACATGAAATTTGGTGTGGTCATGGCTGTCTTTAAGGGGGGGCAAGGAGGAAATTCACCTCAATGCAAATCAATATATGAAATATTTTGTGCTCAAGAATTAGAAATGACATAAAGCATGTTACGTATATTAATTTCATTGCAATCATAGAACAGAATTAAGAGTACACTATTTTATAAACATACAGCTTACCAGCTTCAGAATTTTTTCTCCTCTTTGTTCATATCTTAAGGAGGGCCCCACACTGTTGTAGGCATGGCCTTGGGTTTGTTAATAGATCTTAAAAAAATTATTATAATGATTATACAGTAGGGCCCTGCTTTTCGGCGATCCACTAATACAGCGCTTTTCAATTGCGTGCATATGCCCCATGCATTCAACAGCTGAGTCAGAGAAGTGTGTCTGGCGCCATTTTCTCGTCGCTGATAGTCTGTTTACAGCTACTACTGATATTCATTTTACTTTCATATCGTTTTCTTAGGCCTAGCGCTATTGTGCACTTACTATATGATAGTGTAAACATCTTATTAGGCTTTGATATGCATTTGCAATTGAAAAAAGGCAAAGATCCACTTTTCGGCGGGGGTCTGGTCCCTAACTTGCCGTATATGCAGTGCCCTACTGTATCCAGAATGAGAAGGTGGGGGAGATGAAAATTGCTTACATCTTGTATGGAAAGCTTAAAAGAGATCACTCAGAAGATTGAGGGGTAGATGGTAGGATATTAAAATGGATCTTGTGGAAATAAGGTTGAATGCTGTGTATTGAATTCAATATTTGACATTTAATTTGTAGGTTATGTCAAAGGAACGTTACAGTGATAGTGGTGACAAAATGTGGATTTAATGTTACAATTAGTGATTAAATTAAAACATTTTACAGTGTAAGAATCACACATCATGAGATCAGTATTTATATCTGCTGAATCATGTTTTCAGTTTTCTAAATGACCAGATATATACCAATAACTTTTCACATTTAAGGACAAATGCATTACAGTATTTCCTGCACTCCAAAAAAGAGAATTTATACACTATTTAATCAGTGTGAGATCTTGATTTTTCTTGGTTATGGACATACTCATTTCTCAAGAATTTACAGTCATCTATCAGGAATCTGAAACAAATTACATAGGAGTAAAAGCAAAAATTCAAGATAAAGTTATATAAAATATATTGCATCAGCTCAAAACCAGCTATTCTTTCAACATTTTTTGTTTCAGAAAGAGGTTAAACTGAAAATATTTTACAAATTGCTTTCTTTTAAACAGCCCTGTGTTATACATAACCTTGCATACCAACCAACAAACACTTTATGTGGTGCAAAAAATTATTCTCAAATGAAAGAATATTAACCATTCAACCAGAAAATACCTATCAGAACTACTTCATTGAATACACACATGCAAGTAGACCTCCAATTTCGCTTCAGTTAGAGTGAACTTACACTTGTGTTTTGCTTGGTCTAAAAATGTAGGTCACACACTACAATGTTTGGATATTCACTGGACTGTATTCAAGACTGTGTTACTGTAATACTGAAATAGTCAAGTTCTTACAGTTCTGAATCATATTATGAAAGAAAAAAATTATGGTGAATTAGATTATTTATGTTCAAATCAGATGAACTAAACATGAAAATCTGAAACAAGGGATAGAAGAAATATAAACGATGAATTAATATTTCTAAACCGTGATCAGTAATCCAGTGCTTGGTGGCGTAACTAAATGACGTGTGTTGTAATTCTGTGGATTTACTTCATTAGCATTTTGTGGAAGGATAATTTTCTCTAATACTTCCAGAAGACAAGTAAGTATTCTTATTTTTTGCTGTGTTATAACATTGTAAATAGAAAGTAAACTCTGTGTTGTCAATATATGTAGGCGTACATACCGATAAAAGAGGAAAGGCAGTCCCGCTGTTGCAAAGTGCCAGAGTGAATGAGCATCAATTATCCACATCAAGGGTGGGAAGTCCATCACTTCAAATATCATACATACTCCTACTAGTAACACAAAGAGAGCACATTGCCACACATAAAGCTGACTTTTCCAGTAGTAAAAACACCATATTAACCAGCCCATTGCATTTGCAATACCTGAAAGAATGGAAATATATATAAAACAGGGTTTAGTCAGTAACTTATATGGTCTGCTTATCTTATCTTTTATAGCTGAAATTTCATAGCATACCAACAACTATGTTTGCCTTCATATTGTACCCATAGTCAAAATTAATTAATGCCAGGTATGTGATGTGATGAACAAAAAACCCAACACACAGGAAACTCAAAATCACAGTCATGACTCGACTCTGTCCATTCAGTAATCTGGAAAGGAAATTACATTTTAGCATGTTAGAGGAAAATACAAGTATATAATAAACAGTATACATTTTAAAAAATTACATTATTAAAAATGAAAGTGTATAAAAATCACCTAACAACCATTGCATAGAAAGAAAATAATACAGTTGAGAATGCAGAAAAATAATCCATCATCTCAGTAAATGGGGTGTCTCTTATGTGGAACATACTTGACCAAAACCAGCAATTTAAACACACCTGCAAAAACAAAATATAACATTAGAATATATTTATGAATATTAATTTAATCTGCTTATGATATAGAATTGACAAATGGGTTTCATAAACGTACCATTGCATATGCATGCCACAACCAATACATGGGACTCGTCTTTCGAACTTCTCTCCGGAACTTTCTCAACATCATATAGTGGGCTATAAAGTTTAAAATTGAGAATATAACTGATGCAGGTTCCTGGATGCCAAGAATCCTAATAAAGGGCCACTGAAAGAAATTCAGACAGAGAATGGAAATTGATAAGGTTATGACTATGATCGTGGACATAAATGTAAGAATAAAATCTTTACACAATTATTAAAGAAGTGGACAGAGTTGATCAACAGAAGAGTACAAAATGGTTCAAAATTCTATAAAATTATACAATTAATAGTATGGAACAGACAGATCCTAAAGCAGGGCAAAAGAACATTTGACAAAATATATTTTAAACTGATTCTAGTATTTAATGCAGGAAGATGGACTGTTACAAAGATAAACAAAAGTGAAATTCCAGCAACGGATATGATATTTTTGGGAAGTACTGGGCAGAATACAAGAAAGAACAGAATTATAATTTTTTTTTTGGAAATGAAATTGGACTCAACATTTTTTAATCTTTATTAAAAGAAATGAATATAATGGTCAGCCATGTAAATGGAATGGATGGAAGATGGATACTGAGAAGGGCATTAAAATTCATATTTAAGAGAGACTCCTATGGGATGCACAGAACAAGTTGGGTGGTCATGATCTAGAAGATGTGAAGAAGATATAAACAAGCTGGCAAGAAATTGAAAAGGAAAGATTGTGGGAAGATTGAAATTAGAGACTTTTTGTCCACTGACCCATATTAAATGAAAACAATCCTAAAACAAGAATACATTTTTATAGAAGAAATGTCTAAGATGGCAGGTTGCCTGTTGAGTATGTGCATGCAGATGTTTTTAGTTTGTGTGTGTATGTGCATTATTGATGACTAAAATTCTCAGAAAAAATCTTGAATATTTGAAACTGAGAAATGAAATGTGACTTCAGACATTCATGATATAATGTCACATAATTACC